AATTGGGGACTGGGGTTGGTCGGATAATTGAAAAGTCGGATAACCGAAAAGTATGAAAAAATCCATTATTAGTGTAGTATATTATTATATCCCATGTAATTAGTATATTAGTATATCGCTATTAACCTACTTCGCTTTGAATTTTCATCGATGTTAAGCCTAACAAATTTTTTTTAAATAATAATCGTCACTATTGTATCGTTAAAAATTAAAAAATTAAACCTTGTTTAAATACTGGCTCCCTTTCATGGTAGAGCCAGTGCTGCCAGCTAAAACACGTAAAAATAATATTAAAGTAGCCAAGACATAGCCAAGTATTGTAGCGCCACATCACTAGCGGACATTTGAAATTTGTCGAATAGGACGGTCGGTTAACCGAGGTGACGGTTAATCGGGGGTCGAATAATCGATGCTCTACTGTATTAACTTACATGCAATTTATAATTTTATTATTTTTCTTTTGCGTTTATATATTTAAAAAAGTACAGGGTGTCACAAATTAAAAATGTCATTTCCCAGCTAGCTACAGCAAAATAAATTGATCAGAAAGTCATGAAAATTTGAGAACGTCTCAATGAGATGATGGGAATATTTTCTAGAGCAAATCATGACCTTCTCATATATATCAGGGTCTGTTCTTAGCTCCTCGATACCATTGTTTGGAGTCTGTCAAGACAGTTTCATGATCACGTCGGGAGGAGCGCTGTTACAGGGGCCATGAAATACCATGTATTACATATAAGGTTTCTCCAACGGTATACCGGAATCCTGGCTGTTTTTTAACCCGGGAAATTTCTCTTATTCCGGAAAATCCCGCAAATTTCTTAAAAATTTACTTTTTTCTTATTTTGTGTTAAAGTTGAGGAAATTTTGCAAATAGAAAGTATAATTAACCCATAAACTGTCAGAATACATTTTTATTTATTAATTTTAAGCCTGCTTGTTTGTTTTTTAAATGTTTGCTCGTTATGGCATGTCACAGATTGTCAATAATCAGTATGTAGTCTGTTTGTGGCAGGACTTTGAAAATTCTTTACTTGTCGGAACCTGTAATATCTTGCGCCGATGCTGTCTTAATTTTTAACCATAGATTTAATAACTGCATTATGCCTGGTTGTGCAAATTGGCCCAGTATACGAATGAGATTAAATATGCAAGTACGAAGCGAAGTTTTTCTTCATAAACAGTGGTGTAGCGTATGCGGGGCAAAGGAGACGCCCGCCCTGGGCGGCACTTTGGTAGGAGCGGTAAAATCCCTATCGTTGAATTAATATTAAGATATTATAACAAAAATTTACAATAATATTTTGTATTAAGATTTTAAAGAGCAAAGATGGTCAATATTCTGATCACTCAATCTGGTTCTTATTTTAGTAATAAGAAGTCCTGCTACCGAGAATGATCTTTTCGATTCAAAATTGATGTGGGTGGCATCGTCTTTAATGCATTTAAGAGAAGACAGATGTTATGTTTTTTCACTTGTAGCCTGGAAGATTTCGAGATTGTAGTGCTTCTTTCGCTCTCTAGTATTCTTGATTTGTCTACCTTGACTGATTTAATAGCAGCATCAAGCTTATGGCCAATAATTCTGAAATTCGTTTGGCTTTAATAATCAGGTTTATGAAGAAAAACTTCATACTTGCAGACTTCGTACTCATTTGTATCCTTGCCCAATTTGCACAACCTGGCTTTATGCAGTTATCGAAGCTATCAGGCATGGTTAAAAATTAAGGCAACATAAGTAAAATTATGCCAGATATTGCAGGTTCTGACAAGTAAAGAATTTTCAGAGTCATGCCACAAATAATCTACATATTGATTATTGACCATTTGTGATATGCCATAACAAGGAAAAATTAAAAAAATTAATAAGTAGGTTTAAAATTAATAAATACAAATGTATTCTGACAGTTTATGAGTTAATTATACTTTCTATTTGCAAAACTTCCTCAACCTTAACACAAAATAGTGAACTTTTAAGAAATTTGTGGGATTTCCCGGGTTAAAAAAACAACCAGATCCTGGGATCTCATTTGAGAAACCCTAGATGGGACAGTTAAACTTTTGCCTTTTGTAAATAAACCCTGACGCAAAACTTAACAAGTGCCCGTCTGACACTCTTGCAAAGACTATAAAAAATTATTTGTCAGAAAGGTAAACAAAAAACTGGAATTACAAGGCAGAGTTTTAAAATTCAGAGGAATACTATCTGATCGGTATCAGGTTGAGCAACGATGTTGATGTCTCCCGCTCTGCGAAAGGTTTCAAATTGTTACCTGAAGACAAGGGAAAATCAATCAGTATTCATTATTTTGTATCTCTTCTTTTTATGTTTATTCAGTAAAGTGTTCATTGTCCGATCATAAAAATCTTTCACAAAAGTGTTTGCTATCCAAACTGTTCATTACCAATCACCCAATGTATAAATTATTATTTGGTTAAATCTGTTAGTATTTTATGTAGATTTTATTTTTATTAATTTGTTCATAAGAATAATATAAAGTATTTTATTACAGAAAACCCAAACCAATGGATGATGGAAGTGTTAAAGTGACAGTAACTGTTAATGGAAATATTGAGTTTGAAGGTTTTGGTGCAAACAAAANTCCCATGATATTAGTATATTAGTATATCGCTATTAACCTACTTCACGTTGAATTTTAATCGATGTTAAGCCTAACAAAATTTTTTTAAAAATAATAATCGTCGTTATTGTATCGTTAAAAATTATTTTTAAATTATTTTATTGCTCACAAAACAAACAACCACTCTTAATTAGAAAACTAAGTCTCGTTTAAATACTGGCCTCCCATTCATGGTCGAACAAGTGTTGCCAGCTAAAACACAAAAAAATTTTAAAAAATAATATTAAAGTAGCCAAGACATAGCCAAATATTGTAGCGCCACATCACTAGTGGGCATTTGAAATTTGCCGACTAGAACGGTCGGTTAATCGATGTGACGGTTAATCGGGGATCGGATAATCGATGCTCTACTGTACTGCTAAAATATTAATTATTTTTATTATGAAAACAAATTAATTAAAGTAATTTTTTAAAATAAATTTTTTTCATTTTGAGAACTGAATTTTGAGGCTCCAGGCACGCCCGTGCAGAAATCCGCCACTGTCTCCATGTATTATTTTTTTCACAACGTTCCAACTTACCTGTCATTAGGCTGCAGCAATTCTCTTTTGGCATTTTCTCTTTATATGTTTTATACGCATGCCTTTCGTATACTATCCTGTGAAGGAAATTCATAGAATGACATGCCGAGTGTCTTCCCTTTCGTCGATTTGCAACGTGGTGCGAAGCAATAAACCATACCAGTTAATATAACCTATGTCCTTAATTAATCACACTATTGTCTTATTCGCCTTTGCACTCACACAAATAAAATTATGCGAAACAACTTCACCAGAAACGTGCTTAACTAGTACAGTACAATGCCATTGAAATGTGAAGATGAGCACGATCTGTATCAGCGCTCCTAGCGACAAAACCGTGCGAATTGGCTGGTAGACACTTTTGGAGGCTAAAAACAGGCCCAGATATATATGAGAAGGCCATGAGCAAAAAAGGTTAGTTCCAAAAACCACTACTAGAGGGCGCTATCAAACTGAAATCATGACAAATTTGCCCGCAAGATCCTCAGACTTGATTCCAATGCGATTTTTGGCTCTGGGGCTATCTCAAAGACTTGGTCTAGCGTGATCCCATAATATCTGTGTCAGACCTTAAAGATAGCAGTGAAGATCTAGTAAAGTTCTTTTCCAAACTCCGTCTCGTTAAGTTGGTGTCCGTGTGTATCACGATTCGATATATGATCCAGGTTCGATGGAAAGCACACCTCCACACTCAAGTTATACATTATTTACAGTTTATTTACAGATTCTACATGTAGAGTGTACAAGTTCAAAAACATAGTATATTCAGGATAACAAAGCATGGTGCATCACGTACTAGATTGGCTTCTGGGTCAGTCCAGTCTCCGCACTAACCCTTCCCTGAGATGTATAGCAAAGGAGAACACTCTCTCTACGCTCAGCGGGTTTCCCAAATGCCTGAGATTACCGTGTACCAGTCTCTTGCCCTTCTCTCCTCCCTCTCCCGTTTGACCTGCAATTTAAGGGTTTTTTGGACGGGAACTTCCGACCAATCACAACCCTTTCTTGCCCGAACAGCTTACACTCAGGTCCGCCATCATTCCACGGGAGTGGAGCTTACATAAACATCCGCCACTTGTTTATATTCAGTAGTTTACTATATAGCAAATGGTCTATCGTCTGACCACACGTGGGTCCAATTGACAAAGTCGGCGCTTCTTTTGTTCCCTCTCTGCTAAAAGGCCAATACTTTACAACTGCATTGCAGTTGTAAAGTTGAAAGGCGAAGCTCAACATAACCGGGTATTACACAAACGTCTAGACCCTGAGCGAGCATTAGTTCTAAAATAACCTTTTCTCGAGTTATTCATTCATTCAACAAGTACCGCAGTACAGTAGTAATAAAAAAAGAAACTTAAAATTGTGACAACAGCGTTTATCTGACGAAAGTTCAAAAGTCGTGCTACGAAGACGATTTGTCGGTCACTTTAAAGTGTAGGAAGATATTTGGTATTCTGGCATTTATGACATCATTTATGATCTTAACAGCTTCGTGCTGGCTTAAGTATTGATATAATGTTTTACAAATCATTTATTGAAAAAAGCAAATATGTTCGAAAAATTCACCTGCTTGATAATACAAAGTAGAAAAATCACTATTTCGATTTTTATTAGTCGTTTAGATCATAAATGATATTATAAACCTTTGTCCACACTACTGTTCATAAAGCGTTTCATTTTTCTTTGTTGTTCCTCTGCCCATATCACTTTTTGATGAATTAATAATTTTAAAAAGTACAAGTATTTTTGCCGTAATTTTTATGATTTAATCTGATTTTTTAATTAAGAATTGAATTAAAATGAGATTTTTTACAGCCGAAAAGATAAATAATATACTGTATATATGTTACCGCTAAAGCTCGAAATCCGTTAATGTCTACATTACCTAGCTAATCTGCAGATTAACTAAGGTGACCGTTAAAGCTGCAAAAATTATTCCATTTCTCAAATTACCTAGGTAATCTGCAGATTATCTAGGTAATCCGCGAATTACCTACTAGGCACTCGGTAAAGTGAAAATAAGATCTTTGCTGGAACAACAGCAACGTTTCTGTAAGCTTAAATTAACATAATGTTATTTATTTAATTTTCAATATCTAAAGAATCAAGTTAATACAATCAAACAATCAACAAATTAGTTGATTGAATCAATCATCAATCAATTAAAAAAACTTTAATACAAAAATCAAACGGTTTAAAATATTATTACAATTAGGGAAATGAATTTGCAAAACATATGATAAAATTGTACTTACTTATTAGTGCAATCTAAAGATTGGTGACA